GAAGGTGACCGTGGTGATATTCAGCAATGAGGTATGTAGCACTTTTTCTAGGATGCGTTCGTGAACTTAATTGTCACACCTCATATGTGGGTTTGAATCCAATTTTGTTTGGCTCCAAAGCCAACAGCTGGCCCTGGAAAGGGAAGGCAGAGGCAGAGGGACTGTGTTCACTAAGACCATTAAGGGACATGGGGACACAGATAAAACACAAAGCTCCATATGAAAATAACTTTAATTAGCCAAGGGAACATCACAGCAACCCCTGTACACCCCGAACCTTAGTTCTCCTCGGACTGGGCAAGCAGGGCCCCCCCACCTCTTCCCTCCAGAAGTAGACAGTATGCAGCTGGGAGGACAGTAACAGACTGAAGACTGAGGCCATGCTCAGAGGTGGGCAGGGGGCTGGGCCGGCTCCTTTCGTCCCTCGCCAGCGATGGGCCGGCCTCGCTCCTCCCAGATGGTGAGGCCGTCGCAGGAGCAGATCTGCTTGGGGTTCTGGAAAAGGCCAGCAGACCGTGCGATGATGCCACAGGCCAACCTGCAGAAGAATGTGTGGTCAAGGGTGGACACCTGTCTGCGTCCCTCCAGGGTTGCACATGCACGGCTGGCAGAGCACAGCCTCCTGCTGGTGGCAGCATTACCCACCTCTTTCCTGAGTTCCCCGTGATCTTGGATAAAGGATGGCCGCCCCGGCCCAGGTCATCTTCACCCTCATCGATGACCAGACTTCGGCCAATCACATCCCACACCTTTGAGGGGAGACACCGGCCTCAGACACTGGACCTGTGAGGAAAGGTCCCCACTTTCTTTTCCACCTTACCTTTAGCTGCTCATCCTCTAGCCTGAAGATGGCTCGGCCATCAGCATCAGCGTGGACGTTCCCCAGGTCTCCCCGGTGCTGCAATGAGACCCAGGGGAAGCAGCACGTGGGGCAGAGCTGCTATAATAGCTTCCGGCTTCCCAGTAGCTGATTCCCCTCCCCAAAGTACCAGTGTCCTTTTGTGGGGACAGTCAGGTAGGAAGAAGGGACTGACTGCCCAGGACATAAGGAAGGCAACTGGATACTCCCTCCCTGGAAATGAAATCCTGGATAGAATGACAGCACACTGAAAATAGCCGGTGATCCCCTCCAAGGAAGTCAGGCCCACTGGGCCAGACTGTTTTTCCTAGGAAGCCATTGCCCAGCCTTATATCCTGGCGTCAGAAACCTGCTCGGTTCCTGCTTCTTTCCATGCCGGGTTCTCCAGCCTCCTGATGACTCTGTGAGCCCTTGGCAGTCTGCAGTTCCCCTGGGCCAAGCTTGGCTTCTTGACCATCAGAGGCAGCCAGCACCCTTTCCCTGACATCCAGCCTCCAGGAACAGAGAAGAAACACAGGGAGCAAAGGCCTGCCCTGCTCCCTGAAGAAGCCGGCTTTGCCCACCTTCTCCCTTGAAGGTAGTAAAAATGTCATAACACATCTACTGAGCACCTCCTCCATCAGACACCCTCTGCCAGGCAGGGCGGTTACATATGCGGTCACTACCCACAAAGGGTTTGTACCTTGGTGGGAGCCAGATGGGGAACAAACAAGTGATCATGACACACAGGGTTAGTACAATAGTGAATGTGTATTCTGGTGACAGGATTTTAACGGTGAGTCTCAGAGACTCACATCTGTGCAAATAAATTGTCCCCAACCTGACACTTTGGGCAGAAGCAGGTGCTGGTGCCATTGTGGGCTGGTACACAAGGCCTTGCTGCAAAGTATAGTTACAAAACACGTCACTGTATGTGGGTCTGGCAAGCAGCAAGAAGAGCCATTTCTGCTTTACCCCGTTTTCCAGAGAGACATCTGCTGCTCACACCGGGTGCTTTTTGTTATGCTCTGTGTTGGGAGCTTTTATAGTAAAAAGATCAAGGAGCGGGAGGGACAACAGAGCCTTGGGGAGCATTTTCAGGACTGGGCTGAGGGAGCAGCAGCAGAGGTG